TTTATTGACCAAGTATGTTACTCTCTATGGTTCTAATTTATCTGAGATGCATAAATACCTGATGGTAATCCAATAATATAAAGGCCTCAGTGACTCTAAGAGCTACACCAGCATAACCGTCTTCAGGTGGGACACCCAGCTGAACAGATCTTAGGGAAGCTCAGTCCATTTCTTGGAAGTAGGACACAGCAGACAGTAAAAACTCAATCCTATGAAGAAAATACTAAATAACAACAACAAATATAATGGAGCACAATGTGTACGCATGACGCCCCCTTAATATTTCCGTCTTCCCCCTCAAGTATGCATTCCTAGAACTGGCCCTGTTCAGGGGTCTTAAACATGCTGGAAAAACATAATCTGGATAAGAGCATGGTTTTCGTCCTGGTCGTGGAACAGTGGACCAGCTCTACACCCTCAGCAGGGTCCTGGAGGGTGCATGGGAGTTCGCCCAACCAGTCTACATGTGTTTTGTTGACTTGGAGAAGGCGTTCGACCGTGTCCCAAGGGGAGTCCTGTGTGGGGGTACTCCGGGAGTATGGAGTACCAAGCCCTTTGATAYGGGCTGTTTGGTTCCTGTACGACCAGTGTCAGAGTTTGGTCCGCATTGCCAGTAGTAAGTTGGGCTAGTTTCTGGTGAGAGTTGGATTCTGCCAAAGTTGCTCTTTGTCACTGATTCTTTTCATAACTTTTATGGACAAAATTTCTAGGAGCAGCCGAGGTGTTGAGGGGATCCGTTTTGGTGGCCTTAGGATCRCATCTCTGCTTTTAGTGGATGATGTGGTCCTGTTGGCTTCATCAGATCCTGATCTCCAGCTCTCACTGGAGCAGTTCAGCCAAGTGTGAAGCGGCCGGGATGAGGATCAGTGCCTCCAAATCCAAGACCATGGTCTTGAGCCGGAAAAGGGTAGGGTGCCTTCTTTGGGTTGGCTCAGCCCTCACTTTACTGCTCAGTCCGGTTCCTACCCTCATCTAGGGTCACGAGCTTTTGGGTAGTGACCGAAAAACAAGATCGCGGATACAAGAGGCCAAAATAAGTTTCCTCCGCAGGGCGTCTGGGCTCTCCCTCATGGTACGTTCACACGTGCGTTTTGAGCGGCAGGAGCGGCCGATTTACATGCAAAGTCTATGAGGACGCGCCTCTAGGGGTCATGCGTCGCGTCATGTACATTTTGGGCGGCGTGCAAGGAAGGCAGAAGGGGCGCAGAGCATTTTCCACGCATGCGGTGCTGCAGAAGCCGCCGCCGCCCAAGCCGCCGCCAGAGTTCAAATATCGGAACTTTTCGCCGCTCGACGCGTCTCCCACTGAAAACCGAAACAGACGGACTGGAGATCTTTACCTGAAATCGACCGTGTGCAGTTGGATTTTCTGGCAGGATATATMAGCACCGATGTGGATCAGCTGCTCGGGACCAAAAAAAAAAAGAAGTCTTTCAGCTGGAAGCTTCTGGAGTGATGAAACTAACCAAACAAATCGCTTCTAAATCATCTGGTGAGTTAATTATCTGCTGTGCGCAACGTTCACTTGCTCTTTAGTAAATAAATCAAAGCCATTTTCTTTTATTTTATCTTTAGTCACCTGCCAAGGACATGTTCCTCCCACACCGCGCTGCTGCTGCTTGTTCTGGTCTGAACACTAGTGCATTCTTCGGTCTGAAAATAGTGCGTCCAACGAGAGACGTTTTGTGCTTTTTGGCCGCTCAAAACGCGTTCGGTGTGAACGTAGCATTAGAGACAGGGTGAGAAGCTCAGTTATCTGGGAGGGACTCAGAGTAGAGCCACTGCTCCTCCACGTTGAGAGGAGTCAGTTGAGGTGGCTTGGGCATCTGTTTAGGATGCCTCCTGGATGACTTGTTCCCAATGCTCAGTTCTGAATTTGCAATATGTTGTAAAAATGTTAATCTATGTTATCTGTGTGTCTATGATTTATCATTGCTGTTTTCTGTCTGCCTGTGTTGCTACCTCTTGGCCAGGCCATGATTATAACAGAACTGCTTCTCAATTGACCTGCCTGGTAAATTAAACATTACCTATGATATTATTTTTTTCTAGGTGTAGTTATTGATTTAATGCACTTGATGAAAGACGGTGGCTTTGATGTCTCCCTCTTCTTTCGTGACATTGTAAGTCCACCTGAGGATGAGAGCGAGCTGGGGCTGCAGCTGAAGCCCTGTGACAAACTGGAGGACCTGCAGAAATGGGTCCGGCCTAAGGAGCAGAAAAAGAGAGTCAAGGCCAGGTTGAGATCAAATAATTTCAGTAGTTGTTACTTTTGCGATTTCCTGTTTTAGTTGCGAGTGTTTTTACCCTCACACCTACTTTACTCACTTTGCATATTTCTCTGCTGTGTTCAGGTTGAGCTTGTGTCTTGGCGAGGGCCTAAATATTGCAGTGGGACTTTATGAAGCAGCACAAAAAGGTTGGAAACCAGATCCAATCGGTCTTTACAGAGAGACCAATGAACCAGTTCGCCGTAAAAATCGTTTCTTCCACACTCAGACTGGCAGTTTGTTGCTGCCCAGTGAGATAAAGAAGGCACAGGTATTGTTTTATTTGGAAAGTGGTGTTCTACATCTGCCAAGATCTAAGTTGCACATTTAAAACTTTGTGCGTTTTAGGTGTATGGCAAGAAACAAATAGTAATGGCGAGAGACGAGGTGGACTCCATCAAGAAATTTGATGACCCCAAGTTGTTTCTGATTGGATTCAAACCAGTGGAGAAGCTCAAACTGCATCATCATATCCGACACTCTCACTTCATCTATCCTGAGGAGCAGGAAGTGAAAGGTAGAAATGTGTTTGGTTTACTTAAGGATAAACAACAAGTTAAAACCAGCAAGGTTACTGTATATTTATGTATTTCAAATGAAGATATAAATTATAATACACAGTATAGAGTATACAGAAGCAGCTCAAAGTCAAGATCAGAGACAGCAAGGAGGTTTATAGAAGGAAGCTGGAGAG